AGGATAGCAACAGGCAGTACATCATATAAACAGTTATTGCCAAACCAAATGAAAGGACTGTATAACCCAAACCTTCTCCAAACTCATTCAAAATATTCTACAAAATTCCAAAGATGTCTTGGTAGAAAACAATCATACAGTAAAATGAAAAGAATGGATGATATATCAAGTTAAAACCAATTTAATTAGCATTCATATAAACGTTATAAAATCATAAACTTGTACTTCATATAATAGCATAATAAGCTTCAACTCAAATAATAACTCCTAAGGGCCTCGTCCGAATATTTGAAATCTGCTACAATTAGACACTTTGGTTTAATTTAAAAGTCACATGCACATTTTAATCTTACACAGTGCATGCTACTTTAAAATTTGGACCTCAAGGAGTCAAGGAGAACCAAATCCTATAATTTTCTCACTTTCACTTACATTCCAATATTTGTACAAAAGATTATTTATTCATTATATCAAGAGCATAACCATAACCATAACCATGCATCAGGAACCAAGGATTAAATCCCAAACCCTAAGGGGGAATTTAAATCATTTGATTTCAAATCTCATAATGGTTTAACAAACAAATTAATTATTTTTCTAATTATTTTCCTCTACCATAGCTTCAGCCAACTACAAATCCAGGATTATGCTTGCAAATGTAAATGGCTGCATCAAAACAAGTCAGCATCAAATGGTACCTTGCAAGTTGATGCATGCCGGCATAAAGGAGCAATAGGACATCTTTTAGGACATCTAGGTGGCTTTTGGTCCATTTCGGTACCACAAGGAACCTGGTACAAAATCCACAACTCAGCACATATAGTTTAGGCAAGCGCTAGCAAAATTTGAAGAAATCCAAGTACATAGCAACAAGATCCAGAAAATTTATATAGGATAACAGTGCCATATCGACAAGAATAAAATAGACCACCATAAAGACACGGAGAAAGGAAGAAATAGCAAAGAATATGTAATGCCAGTGTTTTGATTGACACAGACAATCAGCAATAGTAAGTAAAATTATCAATTTATTTAAATTAAAATAAAAAAGTTCAAAGTTAACAGCAATAAGTAACCCCTTGTTTATATGGTCCTTGAACTTCCGATTTATTCAATGAAAATGCAATAAATCAGCTGGTGTCACGAGTAATATACAAATAGGGATATCACATTGACTACAATATATATTACATAAATTAACAATATAGCCCTCCTTGATTTGATATCATCATTTTATCAATTTATGCAGTTACGTTTGTTGTTTCCCATAATATGTTCAAATGACTTTGCCTTGTTTAAATTTTCAGAGAATGTAATACAACATGATTATATTACATGAACAAAGATGATATTTGGTGATCAACTCAATCCTGCTAATGACTATATTATGAGCTCTTCCATCTTTAAAGAAATAAGAAAGTCTGCCAGTCTCAGCATTGAAATGAAATCAGGTTTTCACTTTAGGTGCTTGACAATGAGTGAGGCCAACATCATTTGGCCATCAACTTCCAAAAATTAACCAATTGATAGTGTTATTTTACAGAGGTGTTTTCACATATTACATAATAACATACGTTCAAGAATGTCACGTTTTGGGAATACAATTATAAAATGGGCTTCACAATAATCACAAAATGCACATAGGAATAATTATATTTCATGTAACAGGATAAGATCCTGCAACTATTTAGATGCACTGTCATGGATAAAATCCTGGCATCCAGGTTCATACCTCAAAACGTGTCTCTCCACATGCACATGAAATTGTCACCATTATGGGGCAAGGAGCACAAGGACCTCTGCAAGAACCAAGTTAAGTATCATCATGATGTGTTCTGCCTCTGTCCTATACTCCACTTCAGGCATCACATGTTAGAGATTAAAAATACTATTTTGTACATAATATGCGTAAGAGATCAATTTGGTCCCTATATTCTTAAATAAACTGATCAATGACCAATTCAATTTTTTAAATACTAATAATATATTCCTTCTCCATCTAGTCCACTATGATCACATTGTTAGTAATAGTACACAATGATGACACATTAATTAACATTCATGTACCAGAAAGACCTTGTATTTGCATTTGGAAAAGAACTTAGAAGAATTGGGCCAACCAGGTATCAGCATTCCCAGGTGGAGTTGGGATGGCCCGATCACAGCCTAAAAGCAATCTATTTGGCCAGTGTGGTTTTCAGCCAAAAAGGTGAACAGGCTGAACTGATTTCAGCTCAGATTTATGATCATAACAGGTTTCAGTTCAGGGGATCATTAAACTAATCTTCAAACATTGAAGAAAGCAGTATTTCAGCTATTCACGTAGTTACCTAAAGGAATAAAGACAAAGCTCTAGGTAATACAGGCAGAGGGCATATCTACATTAAGTACAATTAATATTTAATAATATTTAATAATATTTAGATTATTTTTGCCGGTAGAATACAGACAAAGATCTAAGTAATGCAGACAGAAAACATACCTATGGCATGGAGAAGGGCATTTATGGTTCTTACATCGAAGCCTCCTGCCGCATATCTAACAATATTCAAAAACAAAAGAAAATCACTCAACACCATCGCCATCACAGCACAACTCACTAGTCTCCCACCAAAACAAAGAAACAGCAACAAAACAGGCACACACCTCTGAGCAGGGAGGGCAATCCCCATCGCAGCAGCGCCGCTTGCAAGCATGCCGACCACAGTCACGAACTGTCTGACACTTCCTTTCACACGCCAAATCTTGATAGCAAGGAACCTACTCTAAGTTCAATCAACCATGCCTAATTGCCTACCACAACAAAAAAATTCAAAAAAACGAACAGTAATCACTTACATCTTTCTTGAGGCTCCCACACCGGCACGACTTCTTCACAACAACCCTACAAGTCTCAACACACTGTCCACGGTGGCACCTCTCAGGGCACCTATGGTAGCCACAGGGTAGCATCTTATCACAAGTAGCCCCACAAAGCTGCACAGGAGCATCACAAGGCATTCCCTCATAAACCCTTTTCCCACAAGGGCATGTTCTCTTCCCCTTGAGGGGACACTCACCACACTCACCAGAATGGCACCCTCTCTCACAAACATGCTTCCCACAGCTAAGCCTCTTCTCACAGGGAGAATCACACTGGAAAACACGATCACAACACTCCCTCTCCTCCTTCACCCTCCCGCACCGGCACGTGTGAGTGCCACGTGTCCGGCAGGGAGGGCAACTGCCACGGTGGCAAACCTCATTGCAGCGGTGAACCCCGCAATCCAAAATCTTTGAGCAAGGGTTGTTGCAAGAGAATTCCTTGAACCCGCAGCGGCGAACATCTTGGTGGGACCCACAAAAGCATGGAACTTTAACGAGTTTGGGGCAAGAGGGGCAGGGTCCGGGGTGGCAGAGCAACAAGCAGTGGTGGCCGCAGTTGTGCTTCAAGGGTTTCTCGCAGACCTCGCCGCAAGAGTGTGGAAGAATCCATGGATCGTTGGGGGGGTTCTCGAGCTTGCCGCAGAAGCAAAGGTAGGATTTTGGAATGTGGGATTTGGAGTACTCGGATCGGCATTTGGGGCAGTGCCAGAGGGCGGCGGCGGAGGCAGCGGCGGCAGAGAGGGGGAGGCGCGTGGCGG